TTGGGGTGAAGACTCGGTTCAAGCTCTGTGTGAAGAAGCTGCAGTCAATGCGGCATCAAGAAGCTGTGGTCAGCAAATGTTGCAGGCATCCTTAGTGCGTGGCCATCTGTCTGCCGGTGATCCGTACTCGAATAGTGCGGCCACTGCCGAAAGAAGGAAATACTTGTCGGCGACCGCCACGAGAATCGCTGCTCGCGTCGAGGCCTTTGCGCTGGAGTCGAGCGAAGCAAGGCCCGTCTGAGGACGCGACGATGCAGGACGCTCTGATTCTTGACTGGCAAGGGGAGCAATCTGACGGTCGCGCGATGATAGCCTGTGATCGATCTCCTTGGCTTCATTCGCTTGGTCAATGTCATCGACCAGGAGGCGATCGAGATAGCGTGCGCCTGGATTGAAGTGCGAAAGATTAGCGAACGAGAGACCGATCAAGGCGCAGAGAGAGTGGCGACGCGTGCTTACCCTCTTGGTAATCCCAGGATCTGCGCGGGATGGGAGAAGCCTGGATGTCGAAGAGCTCTTCTAGGCAGCGGATCAGGACGGAAGTGCCATTCCTGTAGTCTGACGTTGGAGCATCTTCAAGGTCTGGCTCGCTTGCTCCTTGATCCCGGATCTTGATACGCTTGGATGCGCGTGAAGACGACGCGGAGGATGGTCCGGTGCGAAAGGCCACGCCTGAAGCCGGAACCAGGAGCACGCTCGGCGGGTAGAGCGACATGTGATGGATGGTACGGACGTAAGTGGGCGTGTCTGCAAACTGGGTGATCACGCACATGCCTGGGTGTCGGAAGCAACATTTCTCCAATGTCAGTACTCGTGTTTGTAGAGCGGAAGGAAAGGCGACCTAGGGAAAGAAGCGTACCTGTGTCCCGCTCCAATGAAGCAATGCCAACTTCGCGGCCGATTCCGCGATTTTCAAGGACGGCACAGATGTAGTTGCCGGACGAACCGTCGGCGGTGACAAGCCTGGATCGATGGTAGGAGGAGGCGGTAAAGGGACGCAGCGGTTCGTCTGGTGGGCCCGATTGACGAAGAACTTCAGGCGCAGCATTTTGTCCCTGGTTGTGAGGCCGCTGATCAGCTTGGAGAGGCCGTGGAAGTTCTCGAGGGGTTTGTGATCTTTCGAGAAACTCTCTGGGCGGCGGGGCGCTACGCGTGTTGAGCCAGTCTACATTCTGGCGGGAAGGCATGTGAAGAGTTCGAGACTGCGATGTAGCCTGCGCGTCCGTATCTGGGGTGAATAGACGAACATAAGAGGCAGGCATCACGAAGCTGGGATCTGACGGCGTTGACTGTCGAGAAGCGTTCGGTGCCAAAGCCTGAATGCCCGGGATGCGGAAGCTGGCTCTGGAAGAAGCCACCGAGGCTGCTGAGCCAGGTCGACTTGGCAGTTCTTGAGTGCCCTGTTTGGGGGCTGACCGATTGTTCGCTGGATTCATGCTGGGGGGTGGAGCATTTGGCGACATGGTGGGAGGAGGGGAGGGGAAGCGTCAGAAGAGCTCAGTATATATGCTTGCCTGGCCCTGCTCAAATCGGCTCATCCGAAGCAGCTCAGCGCGGCAACTCATGAGGATCGCAGTCGGTTGATCCGATCGATAGGCAAGGAGTGATGATGCAGCAAAATAAGGTGTGATTGCACGAAGCGCGTAGTGAGATTCTAATGCGGCGAGGGTATGCTCTGATGGGTCGCGGGCTTAGACGCGGAAGACAAGCGCAACACCCTCATCGCCAGCACCGATGAGCTTCCAGCCTCTTGCGTTGGCGGTGTTGGTGTAGGCGCCGATGCCGCCGGTGTCTGCGCCCTGGGTGAATCCGTCGTCCTTGCCGACGGCGAGGGCGAGGACGCCGTCGGTGAAGCCCTGCTGTGTGGCGACGCAGCCGCCGGTCCTTGCGTCCCAGGTCTTGATGGTGTGGTCTGCGGAGGAGGTGGAGAAGAGCGTGGTGCCGGGGTGGAGAGCGACGCCGGTGATGGCAGCGTCGTGCACGACCTCGCAGCGCATCTTTGCCAAGGAGAGGTCCCAGACGATCGCCTTGCCCTCGGTGGAGGCGGTGATGACGTGGCCGGTGCGATTGCCGCCGCCGACGTCGATGAATTGGATGCCCTCGATGGACTCGCCGTCTGCGTGGCCGGTGAGCGATGCGACGACAGACGCCGCGCCGCCGTTGTCGAGCGCACCGATGTTGATGACGCGCACGTCACCGGCGGCACCGCCGATGACGACGACACGAGCATCGGGCGAGACAGCGAGCTGGGTGAGGCCGCCGTCGATGTGGGTCTGGACCTTGGAGGTGATCTCGGCCGTCTTTGGGTCCCAGACGATGAGGGTGCCGTCTTCGGAGCCGGTGATGAGACGCTTGCCGTCGGGGGTGAAGCTGCCGCACGAGACTGCGTCGCTGTGGCCCGAGAAGACGTTCATGACGGTGCCCTTGGGGAGCTGCCACATCCAGACGGTGGAGTCGGCGCCGCCGGCGGCGAGCACGCTGCCCTTGGGATGCCAGTCGATCCAGACGATTTCGTCGGGGCCTTCGAGGTTGGTGAGGAACTCCCACGACTTGAAGTCGTCGGAGCGCTTGCGCCAGATGCGCACCTTGCCGTCCATGCCGCCCGTGGCTGCGAGGTCGCCGGCGGCGTTGAAGAGCGCCGAGGTGACGCTGTCGGTGTGACCGCCGAGGCGGACGACTTCGGAGCCGTCCTGGGTGTTCCAGATCCAGCCGCCGTCGTCTTCGCCACCGCTGAGCGCCAAGGGAGGGTTGGGGTACGAAGGGTGGAGCGAGACGGAGAAGACCGACTTGCGGTGCGAGTAGAAAGCGGCTATCGAGTTGTCGATGAACTCTTCTTGCCCGGGACCAGGGCCGTCGCCTTGCTCGCCGTGCTCGCCGTGCTCTCCGGCGTCAGCACCCTCATCGTCGCTGTCGTCGTCCATGGGGACGTCGCCCTCCTCGTCGTGTTCGGGCACTACCTCCTGGATGTCATCGTTGGCGAGGTCCGAGCCGTAGTCGACGTCGTCGTGTGCGTCTTCCTGATGGGGTTGTGTGGAGCTCATTTTCGTGAAAGCTAGAGCAGGAGCGAGGGCAGTCGGTGGTAGTGAAGCAAGCACTGTTGGAGCAGAGCCAGTCTTAAGCTCGTCGAATCCAGCAGGCAATGCATTTCGGACCAAGACTACGGTGGCCGCTGAGTGTGGCTGAGCTGCATCGGTGTTAAGAAGCTTGAGCTCTCCACAAATTTCTTTGGGCTGCTTGGTGCTCGAACTTTTTTTTGTTCTCGAGGTTCTGCGCTCGGCCACCAAGTGTGGGATCGACACTCGCTGACACGGAGTATCTGGCTCGAAAATTGAATTTCCACCCGTGTGGAGGCATGCGGCCAAAAAATGCGAATCTCATCCGACGGTGGGGCCGGGCGGAGGGCGGCGCGCGACTGAGCCCGAGTTGGGTGCGCGCGGGCGGATCTGCGAGATTGGAGAGGCGCTCCGGCTCAGGCACACCCACCCGACTCGGCGCGCTCTCTGTCTCTCATGCTGAGCTCCGTGGCGAGGCGAGGCAGGACCCTGAATCGGCTGGCTGGCTGGCTGTGCGTCAGCAGCGGCTTCAGTGTGCTCGACTGGCCGGTGCATCATTTTGGGCTTGGATTTCGAGATAGGCGCGGCTGGCGCGCACAGATTGGGCGGTGGCAGCTAACCAGCCACACCGCTCCACAGCTCCACCGTCTGTGGTGCCATCACGCACAGCATCCAGTCACAGGGGCTATCCTCCCTCCACCCAGCCAGCCACATCCCGCTCGCACATCCCCGCGCTCTCCCTTGATAGCCTCGAGTGTGACTCGCATCGTGCTCAGCACTCCATCGTCGATCCTCATCTCCGACAACAGCACCAGCCCGTCTGTTGCCTCCATCACAACCACCACCACCATCATCCGTGCCGTAGCAGGACAGCTGCCTTTCACCGCTGGCAATTGATCTAGGTATCCTTTCACCTCGCCCTCGTCCTCTCCCACACGCCGACTCTCCGCTGGCCGCTCGTTCATTGCCTCCTTGTGTCTCTCGCCCGTCTGCTCACACCATCCAAGCGTCCACGCAAACGCCCCAGCATCCCGCCGTGTCAGCCGTCGCGCCCTTATATCATCCCCTGCGATACCTTTCGTTCGGCCCAACATCCTAAGCCAACGCGCGCGTCCCTCGTTCGCTTTCTGCTAGTGTGCTTGGCTACCTCGTTCCGTCCAACGCCTGTCCATCGCGCACCAGCAGAGCGCAAGCCTTCGCCCCCACCTTGGTTGGAGCGCGCCGCTCCCGCCATCTCGTCCGTTCTGGCCCAGCACAGCTGAATCGCAGGGACATCGTCATCCTTCCCTTGGTCTGCCTCGCCCTTCCCCATGTCCAAGGGTACACCCGCTCGAGATGAATCACGCATCGGCGACTTTGTTGTCGAAAATGAGATCGGCAAGGGCTCCTTCGCCGTCGTCCACAAGGGCTACCGCCTGCAGCCCCGCGAGCCAGTCGCCATCAAGATCGTCACGCGCAAGAAGCTCACGCCCAAGCTTCTCGAGAACCTCGAGGGCGAGATCGCAATCCTGAAAGCAATTCACCATCCCAACATCGTCGAACTCAAGGAATGCCTCAAAACAGAGCACCAGATCTTCCTCGTCATGGCCTTCTGCCCATCCGGCGATCTCTCCCAGTACATCAAGAAGCGATTCGACATCTACGACCGTGCAGGCATCCCGCGTCCAGGCGCACTCGCACGCGCTCCACCAACCTATCCGCATCCCGCAGACGGAGGCCTCAACGAGACGATCGTACGCTCCATCCTCACGCAGCTCGCCGCCGCTCTCGAGTTCATGCGCGGCCGCGACATTGTTCATCGCGACATCAAGCCCCAGAACCTACTGCTCCAACCGCCCGACGCCGCCTTCCTCGCTCTCGGCAATCCGGCAGAGATCCCTCAGGTCAAGGTCGCCGATTTCGGCTTCGCTCGCCATCTCAGCGTCAACACGCTCGCAGAGACCCTCTGCGGCTCGCCTCTCTACATGGCCCCCGAGATCCTCCGCTTCGAAAAGTACGACGCGAAAGCAGACTTGTGGTCCGTCGGCGCCGTCCTCTTCGAGATGACCGTGGGCAAGCCCCCCTTCAAGGCCGCAAACCACGTCGAGCTCCTCAAGCGCATCGAGCGTGGCGAGGACCGCATCAAGTTCCCCGACGAGCGCTCTGCAGGCTCGCTCGCCAGAGAGGCTGCACGTCGACAGGAACTCGGCGAGGCCCCGCTGCCTCCCCCGCATCCGGTGTCAGACGATGTCAAGACCCTCATTCGCCAGCTCCTCCGCCAGCGCCCCGTCGGCCGCATGAGCTTTGACGACTTCTTCAACAGCCCTGTCATTCGCGACTTTAAGGCCTTCATCCGCCCTCACGCCCAAGCAGAGGCCGTGGAGAGGTACGAGGATCTCCAGAGGAGCGATCGCAGCATCATCCTGCCATCAAGCTCGGCCGTCCAGCAGGCGTCCTCCACATCCGCAGGCGAGCGACCGGAAGCAGCCGACTCACCTGCTACGCCCAGCTCACCATCGCCTCGGCTCCGAGCTGAGCCCAAACCTCTGCAGGACGAGACATCCTCGACCCGACGAGCCGACAGCCCTCAATCCGCCAACGCTCCGGCTGCAACGCTCAACCGGACGCCATCGGAGGCATCGAGGCCGGCGCGTACCATTCCACGAGCCTTCTCCGCCAAGTATGTCACAGGCGAGCCGGATCGACGCCCCGAGGACGTCGACAGGCGCGATCCTCCCAACATGGCCCGCACGCCAAGCTCACCCGGTCTTCCAGACAAGTTGCTCACCTCCGGCGGCCGCGAGGAGATAGCAGCACACAATCAGCCGGCAGCTTCGGCCGAAGGCGAAGACAGCTTCCTCGGAAAGGAGTATGTCATGATCGAGAAACGCAATGTCGAGGTCAACGCGCTGGCAGACGAGCTGGCCGCATCGCCGCAGACCAGAATGTCGCTTGCCTCGCGACGGCCCTCGCGCCTGTCGCGGCTCAGTTCGGGAGCGCTTCCCACGCCGTCCGACATCTCACCTCCGGCGTCGGCTGCGGTCGCCTCTAGCTCCAAGCCTATCCGCATCGCCGGCAACGTCAGCTCGTCCCCGACCGCTGGCGCCTTTGCGCTCCCGCCGGGCGCAAGGCCCTCTTCGGTACCACGCCGCACCAGCCTGTCGTCGTCGGGCTCACCCTCGACTCGCAACGCTGGCCAGGTCATTACTGCAGGCGATGCAGCCGCAAGCACCCAAACCTCGCGTCGCGATGGCCCGTCCTCGTCGTCGCCCAGGGAAGACGTCGGCGTGCTCGGCCAAAAGCTCGCTGGGATTGGTCTGCCAGGCGCCTCGGGCAGCGGTCCTTCGAGCGCTTTGGCGAAAGCGATCAGCATGGCGTCGCTGCGCCTGTTTGGCGTTCCATCGGGCGTGTCGCTGCGAGATGCGGCTGCG